AAGATACAGAAGCCTGAACACATGCACAAGCAGGTTCAGGAACAGCTTCTTTCAGGCTGTTATCAGACTGTTGAATGAACTCTAGCCTGAAATAATGTAACCTGCAATGTAACCTGTATACCGCTAAGTCTTTTTGATCTGTACATCCGTTGCTTGCTGTGATCTCTCTGTACTGCTTATAAACAAAGCTTTTCACTGTATTTCAGTACACTTGACAATAAAATCAATCAATCAATTCTGGCATTTGAGGAAACTTTTACAAGAGTCTTAATTGATGGCACAGGTCTCCTACCAAAAAGAAAACGTGGGATTCAATATTTGTTGACCATAATTGACGTGTCTACTGGATTTTATGTTGCAGTTTATGGAATGTTACTATATTTGAACAGTTGATTTGAACAGTTAATTATATTTGGACCACAATCGATAGAAATGCTGCAACAAACAATCAAATCTATGGAAAAACAAGAAGACTAGCAGCCCTCAGTGTGCTCAATTAGATGTATTCTGGCAGGCTTTTCCTCACATCAAGAGTCCATGTACTCATCCGACAGATTTAGAATGAAAAATATTCTACCCAACCCTGACTTCAGTAATAACATAATTGTAACAATCTTCAAGAAGAATTATTAACCTTGGAAACTGTGAAAACTATTGAGGTATTTCCTGCTGTTCATAGAGGGAAAATCTGGAGAGATATGCTATTGAATTGACTTCTTTCTGTGGCTTAGAAATTCCTGCATGAGACATAATGCAGTTCCAAAAAAATGTCAAGAACAATTCAAGAAACTCTTCCTTGCAATCATTGATCTACCCAAAGCAATTGGTTCAGTGAATTTTAAGGCTGTATAAATTCTTCTCTAAAATCTTACAATTATTGCCTAATAATGTTGCCACAGCCATCCTGAGATCTCAAACAGATGCCTTCAAATTATGGCCTGATGTATTCAACTGCCCTTGATTATGAGCATTCAATACCACCTAGATTGGAAACTCTTTAATATTATTCATGTCCAAGCCAAATATTAACTGACCCTATCATAGACATGCATGACCCACAGAATGGAGATGACTGCAAATCCATTTCCCACTCTGCACCAAATTTGCAAGCTGCTCTCAATTTCTCCAATTCTGCCCACCAGAGACTCCATCTGTCATTGAATTTTGCCAAAATAAAACTCACATATCATGCGTCTCTTAGTTCATCAAGTATTCCACCTGCTACACATGTTTTTGAAGAGGCCCTGGAATATATTAATCACTTCCCATAAATTGGCAGCTATATCTCTCAAATGGTCACCATTGATGAGGAGATCAATCAGTGCCCCAGCTTAATCTTCTCCAAGCAACAGCAACAAATATTTCAAACGAAAGACCTCTACATGACAATGAAACCTTAGTGTACAGAGCAGTTGTCATCACCACACTCCTGTACTGCATTGGACCTGGATGTGTATCAGTAAAATATAAGAGCACTGGAGAAATTCAACCAGAAACATCTCCTCTGGCTCATTCTCTGAATTCAATGAGAGGATGACTAAAACAAAAATCAGTATCCTTCCTGAAGCCAGTTACACAAATATTCAAGCAAAGATCTTGCAAAACCATTGACAATGGACTGGACACTGTGTGCAGATAGCTGAAAGATATCTCTCCCACCAAGACATGTTTTCTCAGCACTCAGTTGGTCAGTTTTCCAGGGCAATGTATAGCAAATACCACAAAGGAATTCTGAAGCCCTTCTTGAAGCACGGTTGCATTAACATTAATGACTGGGACGAGAGCTTACCAAGATTTCAAAGTGCAGACAGCTTGACCATTAAGCTGCATCATGCTTTAAGTCCAACCGCCTAAAAGTTGAGGCAGAGCAACAACAGAAAAGGGAATAAGATGTCACTAAATCCTGTTTTCCAGATCATATTACCATGAAGGACGTCCTGTTCAAAGTTCCCAAAGCTCTGCAGGTCCAGAATCAGGCTGTTGAGTCACATTAAGTTCCATGGAGAAAAGCAGTTGAGATGAGGATCCTAAGGCAGGCAGCCACTGGGAGATAACTCTGCTCAGGCAGCAGATAAAGGAACATTGAGGCTTGGGGTCTTCACTCACTTTCCAGGAGCCCAAACAGCTGAACCTGTGGGAGACACCTCTACTAGGGCCTGGGTGCGAAAACAAATCCAAGATTACCATAAGAAAACTGAAACTTTATTAGTTAGTGAGAAGCTGTTGTTAGGGAGTGAGTCTAAATAACATAAAACTAGAGAAGCATCCGGATGTATTTCTGCAAGGAATATGACGGAAAAGGGAGGTAAAGTTCAATCAAGTCAAAGAAAGTTATATAGTAAATCAAAGAAGAAAAAAAGTTAAAGTGAAGCAAAGTTAATGACACGGTTTTATAATAACTATAGATTTAATATAAGGGCAACAAATAGATGGAATCTTGCAGTACGGGATGTCAAGTCAGCTGCAACAAATGGACATACATGTGTCCCACATTAACATATGTACAAAAAGTGTCAGCAGCTGCACAAGATTGATGTCCAGCTTTTGGAAAGTGAACATAGGCTGGAGTCACATTGTGCATCCACAAGGCAATTATGTATTTGAAAATTATGTATAAGGAGGTGGACACACTACAGATTAGAGGTGTACAGACAGAGACAAACTGGGTGACTATCAGGTATGATGATATTATGGCTTTTCGTCCTGTTCTCTTTTATGAAGTTACAGTTCAGCCAATTATTTTATTTTATTTTTATTTGTCTGCATTTTAATTATTGTGTATGAATAAAGTGTGTTATGCTTCAAGCCTGGTAGTTTGACACAATGCCTTACATTTACCATTAAAATCAGAAAAAAATAGGGTCTAGACTATCTTCTCAATATTTTTTGGGAGGGTTTGGTCTGGTCCATAACACAGGCAATCTAAGAAAAGCAGGCATGTGGTGCAACAGTCCTCTGAGTCTACCATGCTTGACGATCAGTGATCGATTTTGGAAACCAGAGAAAGTGATGTTTCCTGTGGGCAGTGCAGCTAGGGACAAGTCTGTGGCTCCAAGGATGTCTGAGCTGAACAAGGAGTTGGAGGAGAAACAAGAATGGAAGGGCAATAGTGATATGTAATTCCATATACCTTTCTGCAGAAAAGAAACATGACTGCAGGATAATGTATTGCCTCCCTGGAACAGACAATTATATCATTGATCAATTGCAGAGTATCCTTTTGTGGGAGCAAGAATAGACATCAGGACCAACAACTTAGATAGGAAGTGAGATGATGTCATGAAAGTTGATTTCAGGGACTTATGAAAGTCATTAAGAGGCAGGGACACAAAGAGAACTGATCTCACAAATATTCCACATTGCATAGGACAAGGCAATCGACTCTTAGAATGCTTTTCGAACTCTTTTAGAATGCTGCATAAAATTCTGGTTGCCCTTCAACAGGAAGGACATTGCTCAACTTAAGAGAGTGCAGAAAGTATTTACAAGGATGTTGCCAGGATTGGACGTATTGAGTTATGGGGAGAGGCTGAATGAGCTGGGGAGTTTTCCCATGGAGCTCGAAGGTTGAGGCATGCATTTACGTTTACAAATTCATGAGGGACATGAATATGGTGAATAGCCAAGATGCTTTTCCTAGAGTGGGGGATTCCAAAACAAGATACCATAGGTTTAAGGTGAGAGAGGAAAGATTTAAAAAGGACCTGAGAGATAACTTTTTCACAAAGATGGTGGTGCATGTATGGAATAGGCCAGCAGAGAATGTGGCGGAGATGGTTTTATTACAACATTTAAAAGGCATCTGGACGGGTATGTGAACAGGAAGGGTTCAGTGGGATATGGACCAAAAGCTGGCAAATGGAATTCGGTCATATCGGGATGTCTGGTCATCATGGATGAGTTGAGCTGAAGGGTCTGTTTCCATGTTGTGTGACTGTATGACTCTACAATAGACTTGTGGTGTTATTGCTGGATGAATAATCCAGAGATAATACAGTCATATAGCACAGAAACAGACCTTTCAGTCCAACTTGTCTATGCTGACCAAGTTTCCCAAACTAAACTCATCCAATTTGCCTGCAGTTGGTGCATATCCCTCTGAATTCTTCCTATTTGTGCACCTATCCAAATGTCTTTTAAGTGTTGTAACTGAACCTGCATCTACCACTTTTTCCAACAGTTCATTCCACACACAAACCACCCTCTCAGATCTCTTTTAAATCTTTCTCTACTCACCTTAAAAATATGTTCCCTAATTTTGAACTCACCCACCTTTGGGAAAAGACCCTTGTTATTCACCTTATCAATACCGCTCATGATTTTATAAATATCTATAAGGTCATCTCTTAACGTCCTACGCTCCAGCAAAAAAAGTCCCAGTGGCAGGACAGAGGTGGAATTGAATTGTGTGAGTTGGGAATGAGTTGCCCTGAGAGTCCTCAACATTGACTCTGGACCGCATGAAACCTCGTGGCATCAAAAGTAACCAAACATGAGCAAGGAAAGCTCCTGCTGATTAAAGTCTACTGTCCAATCCACACTTCAGCTAGTGAAAGAGTATCCCTTTGTGTTGAGTAACACCTAGAGGAAGCACTGAGGGGTGTAAAGGCACAGAAAGACTGTGGGACTTCAATGATCGCCACAAGCAATAAGTCGGCAACAGCACTACTGACCATGCCTACATATCATAAAGGACATAACTGCTGGACTTGCCAGCTGCCAACTCTCCTAGGTAGTAACATTTCAGATTAGTTACAGAACCCAGGGTAGTGAAAGACAGCATTTGAGGTATCTTTAGTAGTTAAAGGTGTGTGCTATTCATTTAAGTACTTAATAAATTAATTGAGTCTTATAGACCTCTGAGTGTCTCCGCTATATTGTCATCTATGTATATACTGTTGTCTCACAGAGATGGGCAACACGATCAAACCAGAGAATCAGAATGGCTTAATGAAGAGTGCAGAATGACATGCCAAGAGCAGCACTAGGCATACCTAGAAATGAAGTGTGCATCTGGTGAGGTGACAAAACAGGACTACATGCATGAAGTTGTTGACTTGCTTGCTAAGCTGGCTTCTTTTCATTCAGATACTTCTTCACCATGGTAGGTAACATCATCAGTGAGGCCTCCAATGAAATGATGTTGTTCTACTCAGCCAGGAACTTACACTGTCCGGTCTGTTATGGTGAGTTGTGTCATTTCCGGTTCTGTTCTATATGGGTTTGTGTATGGGGTCCAATTCTATATGTTTGTTGATTGCATTATGGATTGAGAACCATGCCTGTAGGAATTACTATGCATGTCTATGTTTGGCTTGGGCTACTATGGTTACATTGTCCCAGTTAAACTGATGGCCTTCATTGTCCGAGTGTACTGATATTAGGGAAAGCTTGTCGTATCAGTTTGCTGCTGGCTGATGTTCGTGTATTCTGATGGCTAGTTTCCTCCCTGTCTGTCCAATGTGATGTTGCGGCAGTTGTTGCATGGTATTTTGTAAACTATGTTGCTTTTGCATGTTGTAGGTATAGGGTCTTTAATCCTTGTGAGTGTTTGTCGTAGTGTGGCTATAGGCTTGTGTGCTACCATGTTTCCTCGTGGTCATAGGAATCTCATTGTCAGTTCTGATATGTTCCTGATGTAGGGCAGTGTGGCCAGAGTGTCAGGGTGTACTGTGTCCACTTGATGTTATCTACTTAGTTGGCACCTGTGGATGAAGTTGTGGGGATAACTGCTTATAGCGAAGATTTTGTGTGGGTGCTCGTCCTCTTTCTTGTGCAGTTCTGGTGTGTTGCAGTGAGTGGTGGCCCTTTTAAATCATATCCTAACACAACTTTGTTTTTGGCTGTTAGGATGGTTGCTGTGGAAGTTGAGGATTTGGTCTGTGTGGGTTGCTTTTCTGTATACCAAGGTTTGGAGCTCCCCATTGGTCATATGTTCAAACCTGACATCAAGGAACAGAAGTGGATTGTTGTTTTCTTCCTCTCTTATGAATTTAATCCTGATGAATACATTGCTGATGAGGTGGTGGGTATCTTCTAGTTTGGTGTGTTTAATGATGACAAATGTGTCAACCATGCACTGGATCTACAGTTTAGGTTGAATGAGGGGGAGGGTAGCATGTTCTAGTCTTTGCATGACTGCCTCTGCAATGAGTCCTGAGATGGGTAGCCCCATAGGTGTGCCATTGATCTGTTTCTCTACTTGACTGTTAAGATGAAGTGTGTGGTGAGGAATAAGTCTTGTAGTTTGAGTATGCTGTCATTATTGATGGAGCTGCTGGTCTGCCTTCCTGCTTCCTCTAGTAATGTGGCCAGTGTTTCTTTGGCTAGTGTGATGTCAATGCTGTGAATAATGCTGTGACGACAAAGGATACCATAATCCCATCATTGCTGATTTTTATGTTCTTGAGTGTATTGAAGAATTCTTGGGTTAAGTAGATGGAAAGAAGTGATCCATCAACTAAGTGTTTCAGTCTCTGTTGTAGGTCCTTGGCCAGTTTGTGTGAAGGTGTCCCTGGTAGGGGGACAATGGGTCTGAGGGGGATGTCTGGTTTGTGTACTTTAGAGAGTCCATAGAATCGGGGTAGGGGGGTGTTTGTGCCTTCTGGTTTCATTCTCATGTTGTCCATCTTGGTTATCTGTCTTGCATCCTTTGGTCTCTTCACTTTGGGTGATCCAATTTCCCAGCTGCGGTGTTGGGTCTATTACCACTTGTTGGTAAGTGTTTGTATCTGCGATCAGTGCCTGCGCTTTCTCAACGTAGACCAGTTTGTTCTAATAACAGTCATGCGCCCTTTGTCTGCTGGAAGAATTATCATGTTCTTGTCTTTCTTGAGTTTTTTCTCATGCTTTCCTCTCTGATGTGTTCAGGTTGTCCCATTTGTTGCTTCTACTTAGTGTGGGGATTTTAGTTTGTCAGATGGCTTGTTGACTTTCATCCGTGAGTCTATTGTCTTTTAGTGTAGATTCCAAGGTGGCCATGAAGTCTGTTCTGTTTGCATCTTTTTTTGTTATAGTTCAGTCTGCATAACAGGACAGCTTTCTCAGTTTCTATGAGTCATCTGCTGGATCGGTTTCTTATCCATGTGTCTGGTTTGTTGTTGTTCTTGTCTTTGTGGTGGATCAGTTTGGTAAGTTTCTCCTGTAGCTTGTGTTTCTTCTTTGCTTTGTTCCTGTGTTATTTGATGGTGATGACCTGTTCTAGGGTTGTAGTCCATTGCTGGTCCGTGGTGGTTAGGTACTGTGATTTTTGGTGCAAAATTTCCCACTCATACTTTAAGAGTCAGATATGGACATCATTAATCATTATTCGTAGCATTCTGCATCCATTCTGTTCAGCTATTTTGTATGCTTGTGAGTTGTTGAGTGGAGGTTTGTATTTCATGCTGTGGTGCAGTACCTGGTTCCCGAGGCACTCATGGAGAAAGTGGAATTGCTTGTGGGTAGCACTCTGTGGATTGGTGAAGGCTTCCCATTGTTGGGCAATTTTTAGCATGTTGCGTCTGTAGGTGTTTAAGGTTTTTGCAAAGATTTGTAGCTTGGGTTGTGGGTGAGGTTGTTGACTTGCTTGCTGAGCTGGCTTGTTTTCATTCAGATATTTCGTCACTATGCTAGGTAACATCATCAGTGAGGCCTTCGCTGAAGCGATGTTGTTCTACGCCACTTGGAACTTATACTGTTCAATCTGTTATGGTGAGTTGTGTCATTTCTGGTTCTGTTCTGTATGGGTTTGTATATGGGGTACAATTCTGTATGTTTGTTGATTACACTGTGGGTTGAGAACCATGCCTCTAGGTATGGTTAGATGAACTGGAACAGTTTGGCTAGGGGTGTATCAAGTTCTACGGCATATACTTCAGGAAAGTTGCTGGAAAGGTGACAGGGCCCATGGTCTTTGTAGTATCCACTGCCTCCAGCTGTTTCTTGATATCATGTGGAGTCATGTAACACATTCAATCCAGCGATTATCACCCCATCAATCGACTCTCTATCATCAGTAAAATGATGAAAAGTGTCATCAATAGTGCTATCAACACTTGTTTAGCAATAAACTGATCGTTAATGCTTAGATTAGGTTCCATCAGAACCTTAGTTCAAACATTTAGAAAAGAGCAGAATTCCAGAGGTGAGGTGAAAGTTACTACCCTTGACATCAAGGCTACATATGACTGAATTTGCCATGAACGAACCTTAGGAAAAACTAGTCAATGGGTAGCGGGAGATAACTCTCTGCTGGTTAGATTCATACCTGGCAAAAAAAAAAGAAAGCTGATTGTTTTTGTTGGAGTCAGTCGTCTGAGATCCAGGACATCTCTGCAGGAGTTCCTCAGGGGAATGTGCGACACTCCATGATCTTCAGCTGTATCATCAATAACCTTCCCTCCATTATGTATGAGCAGAAGTGGTGATGGAAACACCATCACCTTCAAGTTCCACTGCAAGCCACTCACCATCCTGATTTGGAAATAAATTGCCACGCCTGCTGTGTCACTGGGTAAAAATCCAGGATCCCTCTCCCTGCTGGCATTATTAGTGTAATTACACCAAATGGATCACAGTTCAAGAGTAAGCTCAGCACCATCTTCACAAGGGCTATCAGAATTGGGCAATATATGCCATTTCAGTATCAGCCACATCCTATGAGTGAATTCAAAAAGAAATCAACCTTTGAAATTCTCTACCACTGACTTTACCAGGATCTAGCCTGGAATGGAGGGAAGGTCTAATGAGGAAAGGTTGAGAGAGCTAAGGCTTTTCTCTTTAGAACGATAAAGGATGAGAGGTGACTTGATAGAGGTGTACAAAATGATCAGAGGTATAGATAGAGTGGACAGCCAGAAACTTTTTCCTGTGGTGGAGGTAGCTATTACAAGGGGGCATAGTTTTAAAGTGAGTGGAGATAGATATAGGAGAGACGTCAGAGGTAGGTTCTTTGCTCAGAGAGTGGTAGGGGCGTGGAATGCATCACCAGAGAACGTAGTGGAGTCGATCTCATTAGGATGTTTAAGCAGCTATTAGATAAGCATATTAATGACAGTATAAGGTAGGGGTGGAGGTTAGATAGACCTTAGGTTTAGGGTAAAAGTTTGGCACAACATCGTGGGCTGAAGGGCCTGTACTGTGCTGGACTGTTCTATGTTCTATGACAGTTGTTAATGCTTAATCTCTGGGTATGTTTGATGTACTCATTAACAGATTTCAGGTTACTAATGATGTGAAAGATTGTGGGGATTATAGAGGTAAAAGTCATTAAAATGCTCAATCAGCCTATTAAATGGCAGAAAATACTTTACATGCACAATGATTTACCTCTGTTCCTATGTCCCTACGTTCCTAAGGCAAAAATTTACGCCACTGTAAGTCATCATCTTCAAATCAAGAGTCAGGGAATCCACACGTTTTTGTAGCTACACCACAACAGTTCAAGAAGGTCTCTTTCTCAATGTTTACTAGTTAAAAATTAAAATGGATGGACAACAAATGCTGCGTCTTTTCTTTACCTGCATTTAAATATGGTACCATACAAATTAGGACAAGGAGTAGATTACTCGACCCTTCGACCCTCCTCTGCCGTTGGGTAAAATTATGGCCATTCTGAATGTGGTCTCAACTCAACTTCCCTGCGTAGCCCAATACCCTTTGGTTTCCTTAATAATCTATCTTCTTCAGTGTACTGAGGCTGCGTAGAGCTTCTCGTCCAAAATAGAAGAGTTGTTTTAGTGACATGAGTAAGCTGAAACGTATTGCTTTCTGAAAGAAGCAGCAATTTATCAGTCATCATCTTGGTAGATAAGAAGTCAGAAATCCCGTAAGATACAACATTTCACGCCAACCGGAGGTAGCAAAACTCTTAAAAAGCAATGAAATGATTTTGAAATGCTGCCAATATTATAATGTGGAAAACACAACAGCCGAACTGTGCATAGCAAGCTCCCAAAAACTGAAACATTTTTGGAGGGTCCCGATCCGAAACATCAATTTTCCTGCTCCTTTGGTGCTGCGTTCCTCTGGCTCCACACTGCGTTGTCAAAGAAAAATCCATTTGTTTTGTGATATTGGGGAATACCTGTTGCAGTAACACTTTGGATAGTGCCTTGGGATCATTTGAATTCACCTTGAGAGTGCAGAAAGTGTATCTGATTAACGTCTCACCCTAAAACATTACCTCCTTCGTACTGCACGAGTGGGTCAGCCTGGATCACTGAGCCAAGTGCTGCAGCGGGACCTTAATTAACAAGAATGATATGTGAGGCAGTAGGGAGCAAAAGATTAAAGTCGAAAGTTTCCTTTGTTGGCAGGTATTCAGCTTCAAATCATAGTATTATGCAGGAAAGAAGGAGGTCATGAGTCCCAACAATCCGGCGCAGATTTTTTTCAGTCCGCCTGACACTCCCACTCTTTCCTTCTATCCCTGCGCTATACTCATCTTTCTGTCAACTCAGCAAAAAGAAACTCAATCATGACAGTTAATTACGATTTGCCGTTAACCGATGTTGATTGTCTTTTATTAGTCAATACTTCTGCAGGTGGCTGGTCAAAGTCTCACAAAGTATGCTTTTTCAACCACATAGTTAAACTGCCTGCCCTATAACTGCTAGACTAATCCTTTTTGTAAACATAAGCTTAACCTTTGGTATCTTCCACAACAGTTCTGAGGGAGGGTCACCGGACCCGAAACGTTAACTCTGTTTTTAACTTCACAGATGCTGCCAGACCTGCTGGGCTTTTCCAGCAACTTTGGTTTTGTTTGCTTTGGTATCTTCCGTTCCTCCAGCAGGAATCTAGTTTCTGAGAATAAATTGAAGTTTGGATTAAGTTCCTCTGGAATTTATATCTTTACACGCTTCGGTAACAAAATGTATCTCACAGGGACTAGGTGACTTATCCACTTGAAGTAGATACATGCAAAAGTTACATGAATGATGATTGACTGAGGGTTACTTTAGTAATATATAGCGTAAGATCAGATCTTCTTGTTTGTCCCGGTTGTTTATTTCCGCCGATTTTTTTTTTCCGTTAGTTGTTTTATATCTGGTTGACAGAGAATTTCGCCAGTGACTTGAGTTTGAGAGAAAGTGAAATTTTCGTGTTCAACTTTTGTGATGATCCCACATGAGGAATTCATCGCCCAATCGCGAACAAACGCAGACGCCTTCAGTACTCTTTAAACGCCAACTTGCAGAACTTAAGTGCTCAATGTTTGACTTTTGACCTACTAACCAACTCTCAGAGTTGAGTTGGAGTAACGGAACAAGCATTAGGTTAGACAGTTACTTTCGTTGCTCGGTGCATAGACAGGAGTACGTGTAACTTTCACACTTTGCATACGTTCATCTTTAATAAGCGTTCAGTGTAATTATTGGCAAAGACTCTCTGTGTCGCTGTCTACCAATGAGGCGCTAAAATGTTGCGAGCGATCTATACCCCCTCCCCCAATTCTACGCATAATGCAGAAACAGAGAGGAAACAGACTCTCACTGTTTGTAATCGTACATCGGAACCGTTATTCTTAGTACTCTTATTCCTCTACACAGATGTAATATTGGTTAGCGTTTTGCTTGGTTTATACTGGATATCAGTATTTGATTTTTTTTTGGGAAGGTGGGGAGTATTAATTATTTTGCATCTTTGCGAATGCAAGGGCGAATTCGGACAGAGAATGCAAGCATTGTTTACAGTTTTCCTGCTTTGTATTTGGAATATCGCTTGTGGTCAAATTCGCTATGCTATTCATGAAGAATTGAAGCATGGTGCCTTCGTTGGGAACATTGCTCAAGATCTTGGTCTGGATGTGAAAGAGCTTTCCAGTCGCAGGCTCCGCATAATGTCTGCAGTAAGAAAACGGTATTTCGAGATTAATTTGGAGAATGGCGTTTTGTTTGTGAATGAAGTGATAGATAGGGAGTACGTATGTAGACAGAGTCCTGCTTGTTTTATGAATCTGGAGGTTGTTGTAGAAAATCCATTGGAACTCTATCGCATCGAAGTAGAAATATTAGATATTAATGACAATTCACCCAGTTTTTCAAAAGCTGAGATCCGTTTGGAGGTTCTAGAGTCAGCACCACCGAGAACTCGATTCCTTCTTCAGAGTGCTCATGACCCGGACTTGGGCATCAATTCTGTCCGCATTTACTACCTCAGTCCAAATGAACACTTCGCTTTAGAAGTGCAGAACAGCGGGGACGACAGCAAGTTCGTCCACCTGCTCCTAGAGAAATACCTGGACAGGGAACAACAGGCGATTCATCATTTACTCCTGACTGCTGTTGACGGAGGAACCCCAGAGCGGACTGGTACAGCCCAAGTTATCGTCACTGTACTTGATGTCAACGACAATTCTCCTGCTTTTGACCAGATGCTCTATAAAGCCAGTCTACTGGAAAATGTACCGATTGGCACTGCGGTTATCAGATTAAATGCGAGCGATCCAGACGAAAGCACGAATGCAGAGATAGTGTATTCTCTCAGCGACCTTACTCCAAGTACATTCCGCGAACTTTTCGAAATGAATTCTCAAACAGGTGAAATTATAGTCAAAGGGATTATAGATTTCGAAGAAGCCGAGATTTATGAAATTATAGCGGAAGCCAAAGACAAAGGCCCATTTGCACTCCCCGTACATTGCACTGTCCTCATTGACATCAAGGATGTCAACGATAACGCGCCCGATATGACTTTGATGTCGGTATCTCATTCAGTCCGTGAGGACGTACCTTCTGGAACTGTGATAGCGCTGATCAGTGTAACCGACCGAGATTCTGAAGACAACGGAGTTACTACCTGCTTAATTCATCCCAACCTACCGTTTGAACTCAAATCGACATTTAAAAATACATACACGGTGGTTGTCCAGCACCCATTGGACAGGGAAATCATGTCTGAATACAGAATTGGAATCTCTTGTTATGATTCAGGATTTCCTCCCCTATCTACCAACAAAACTATTCCAGTGCAGGTGTCAGATGTTAATGACAACCCGCCGCGTTTTGCAAATACGTTTCACACTGCGTACGTGATGGAGAATAACGCCTTTGGAGCTTCCATCTGTTCAGTTTCTGCTTTTGACCCTGACTTGGGTCCAAATTCCCACCTTTCCTATTCCGTTCTCGACAGCCTAGTTCAAGGTATGCCCATTTTATCTTATGTCTCAATCAATTCAGAGAGCGGGATAATATTTTCGCAGCGCTCCTTTGATTACGAAAAGCTCAAGAATTTCCAGATTTACGTTCAGGTGCAGGATGCTGGTTTGCCGCCGCTCAGCGCGAATCATACAGTGCATGTAGTCATCCTAGATCAAAATGACAATGCACCTGTCATTGTGTTTCCCCTAACAAGGAACGGATCAGAAGTAACTATTCCGCGACTAGCAGATCCAGATTATTTGGTCGTCAAGGTCATTGCCATTGATGCCGACTCTGGGCAGAACGCACGGTTGTTTTATCAGCTTCTGGAAGCGACAGATAAGAATCTTTTCGCCATGAGGATTAACTCGGGAGAAGTGAGGACGACTCGTCAAATTGATGACAGAGATGTTGCAATACAGATGATGGTCGTACTGGTGAAGGACAATGGGCATCCTCCTTTATCTACCACTATTACCATCACGCTGTCAATTGTAGATAGCACTGAAGACGCTATTCATGCCGTTACATTCATGCCTAGAATCCCTGAGTATCCCACTCGTGCAGCCCTTTATATAATTATATCTTTAGGGGCAATCACACTTACTCTGATGGTTGCGTTAATTGCTCTTGTTATCACAGTTTGTCGCAATTCAAGCAATGATGAGGATTGGTGTTTGTGTTTTGAACATAGCGATTCAGAAATGATATATCGAAATTCCAATTTAAATTTTCACACAGTGCCAGACTCTAGCCTAATTAAAAACGTTATTGAAGTACGTGGGTCTGGTTCTCTCGCTGAAACGTACTGTTATACCCTGCGGTCTGCCCCGGAATCGGGTAAAGGTGATTCCCAGTTCCTGACCCACTTAAGTGCAGCATCCAGCAAATGCCAATCTAATGCTGCTGATAGGTATTTTCCAGACTGTAATATGAAAGAAATGGACAACGCGACAATGTTCGCCACTGAGGTAAGTGTCTTGAATTTTAAGACGTCATATTTGTTGGATCATTTGGCAGTTTCCCCTCTGTTTTTATGCAAATAGAGGAAACTAGACTTTCACCTACGAAGTTAAGCAACCGTACGCTAAAGAGTGAAAATTCATTTTGCTAATAAGCAATTTTTTAACCCCCTAATTTCCTCACCTTTGGAGCCTGTTTGAACAGTGATAGACCACTCAATCATTAATTCCCCATGGTGGAACAGTGAGTATTAGCAGGCTGATCAACTGTGAATCTGTACCTATCAAGCACCCAAGCATGCAAAACATACATTCTGTCAACAGTCTTCAAGGTTTGGGATAACTTAAAGAATTTGCAAGTAACCTTGATGCTCCCAGACTACATTCAATACTCAGAGCAGATTAAAAGCCCATAATTAACACAAGGTTCAGTGTGTTTATTTTCCAGACGTTTTGAGATTATGATTCAGTGTGGGTACAATATGGGTTCATGGTCCTTCAACAAGCACATGAAACATGGGTCAAGTCCCAACAACCCCCAGAGGTGTGTCAAAACATGTGTTAACAGGTTGATTGAAAATGTCTAGGTCAGAAGTCACACAACACCAGGTTATAGTCCAATAGGTTTATTTGAAATCACAAGCTTTCTAAGCATTGGGCCTTAGTCAGACTCTTTCATCAGAAAATGTCTAGGAAATATAGGGCAAAGAGAGCAAAATGAATGGACCAATTACTCTACTGACCCTTCACTTGAAAGTAATGTTAATAGCACAATAGTCTTCCCTCCAACAATTAAATACCCAATTGATTGACAAAGGCAAAGGTCAGAAAATTCAGGCAAAATTGAGAAAAGAACTCTACATCATTAAAAAAAAAACCACAGAATTTCCCCACAAAATAATTACAAATATGTTCCAGCATATCACAGAGATATATGGTACAAGCACAAATCCCACCTAGTTTCTGGGCCAATTGATATTAGTATAGAAAGGAATCGTTACCTTTTTGGTTCCATACATACTACATGCTATTTCAGGATCTGTCAAAACTTCCACATTTTTAACACATTTATGAGATCATTTAAATATGTCCAATTAAATGGATGTCTACGTTGCTTTATTGTTCATCCCCAGCACCCTGAGAATCATATGTTTTGTTCAGCCACTTCAGAGTACAGTCAAAAAACAATCATGATGATGTGGGATTGCAGTCATTACAGATCAGACCAATTGGTGGCAAAACAAATCCGTCCCCATAGACATTAATAATCAATTGTCTTTTTAGATCAGAATCTGAAACATTCATGATCACTTTTACTGTCTGACACAAATGTTGGTATATTGAAATTGCTTGTTGGGTCATTTCAAAGAGCAGATATACTTCACTGCCCTTGGCTAATGGAATCATGTACAGGTCAGATCAGGTAAGGGGAGCAATTTACTTTCTGGCAATAACTGTTTAGGTCCAACAGTATCAGGGGCTGGAATTTTTCTGGGGAGATTTTACAGGTAGGAGGTGGTTGTTGGTGGTGGGAACGGAGGGACAGGGAGTGGGTGGAGGGGGAAATGGTGAAAGAGGGCATTTCAGGTGGGGTCTCTAATGTGCTACCATCTCCTTGGCCTTTTTCATGGAGAGAAGGATGCCAGCTTCAACTGTTACCATTCTGGCAGTGGTGGGTAGCCAGTTAAAGTATTCAATATACAATGAATTCTGCTGAAATTTTATAAATACACAGATTCCACCTACTCCTTGCCCCAACTCTGTCCCCTCTATGTTTAAACACAATTACATTCAATGATGACCCTGGCAGTTCTAGGCCTTTAAAAAGCTTATTGATAATTTTCTTACCTCTAATATTTTAATGTTTCTTAACTGAATGCAGTTTCAAGAAGTGACATGACCATATGACCTCATCTGATCTACAACCTATTGTTTTGGCTGTTTAGTAGATTTTTTGATTTGCTATAATGTATTGATTCTACTAAGACCACTATTGAGTCTCTTTCAGATTTATCCCTAGGTATACCAACACCAATAACAGAATGTGCATTTTGTTTGCACTTTAAAAAACTATGCTCCAAAAACACTGAAAGCTTTGAAGTACAAAACAGATCATGCCATTGCATACAATAATGGGAGAACAAAATGCAGAAAGTAACAATTAAAATCTTCGGGTGATCATCAACAACAGAAATAAAAAAAAAACTATGCAATTAACTTCATAGTAGACGGTAAGTTTGCAAAGCCAAGTGATAAAGTCATTGGGCAAGTAATCCAGGGTCCCAGACTAAGGTTCCTGGGACATGAGTTAGAATCCCAACAAGACACACCATGAAATTAAAATCTATTTTAAAACTAGACATTAAACTTTAAAACTTTAAATCTACTTGAATCCATTTCATCAGTCAGAGCATTAAGTACAGGATTTGAGATGTCACATTATCGCTGTACAAGACATTGGTAAGGCCACATTTGGAGTACTGCATACAATTCTGTTTGCCCTGCTATAGGAAGGATGATATTATACTGGAAAGGGTGCAAAAATGATTTACAAAATGTTACCGAGACTGGAAGGTTTGAGTTATAAAGAGGGTGGATAGGCTGGGACTATTTTTCTCTCGAGCGTAGGAAGCTGGGGGTGACCTTGTAGAGGTTTAGAAAATCATGAGAGGCACAGATAAGCCAAGGTCTATTTCCCAGGGTAGGGGAGTCCAGAACTAGAGGGCATAGGTTTAAGGTGAGAGGATAAAGATTAAAAAGGGACTTGAAGGGCAACATTTTCACACAGGGAGTGGTATGTCTATGGAACGAGCTGCCAGATGAAGTAGTAGAGGCAGGTACAATCACAACATTTAAAAGACATTTGAACTGGTACATGAATAGGAAACGTTTAGAGAGATAGGCAAATGGGACAGGCAAATGGGACTGGCTCAGTTTATGAAACGTCGTTGGCATTGGACAAGTTGAACCGCAGGGCCTGTTTTCGTCTGTATACTTCTATGACTCTGTAATTAAAATTAATAGGTAGTCTAATCTTGTAACTACTGCCAATTGTTGTAAATACCTAACTGGTTCACTAATTTATTTTAGGAAATGAAATCTGCTATCCTTATCTGATTTGGTTTGTATGTGACTTCGATGCACAGCAATGTGGTGTTAACTGTTCTATAAAATGACCCAGCAAACTATACAGTTCAAGGACATTTAGGGACAGGCAATAAATGTTGTCCCAGCCAGTGACACAAATACTATAAATCAATAGTTAAAAAAAGGCAACCACCCCAAAGAACAAGAGCAATAAATGCATGAGAATACCTGCAAATTTCTTGCCATGGTACACAACAGTTTGATATGGATGTATGCCACTGTGTCTTCACAGCAGTTACACCACAAGGAGTGTAGCAGTTAAAAAAAAACATCCACTCTTCCAAGAGGAACTGGGGATACACGACAAATATTGATATTGTGAATGCCACTTACACTCCAAGAACTAACAAAAAAAGTCTGAAAATGCCTATAAATGATAATTGAAGAGCCATTACAAATGTACACTCCTGATTTGGATTTCCTCTACTAGGGGCAAATTTTGTGAAGTTAAATTTAGAGGTCAACAACCATTTGGATGGTTCTATGGAAATTCTGTAGGTATGAGTGACTTTAGCACACAAATTTATAGAATGTATTCCATTAAGTGAAACTCTGACATGGAATACAAAAGTTTGTGAATTAATATTAAAATGCACAACATTTTAAATATTCTTAAAAATAAAAACATTTGAAAAATGAAAGCATAAACTAAGAATCAAAATGAAAGGGGCAGAATACAGGAAATAAATGTCATTTATTTGGCAAAGTGAACAAGATTAAATACAAGATAACCGAACTTTGATACTCACTTTCATATAATATACAATTCACATCTCTTTCATAATGTCACAGAAAACATTTTGGTGACGGAAACCAACCCTTAAGCCTTTAACATCCAAAGGATATAACCAACATCTCTCTAGTACAACATCTTTCATTTTCATAAAGTCACCCTTTGATCGCCAGTTATAAATGCTGATCATCTCTGATGGACAGATCTATTTACAAAGGCAAGTTCCCTATTTAGCACTTACAACATTTTCTGCTATTATTGCTTTTAATTTCCAGCAATGATTTGTGATTTATCTTCATGATGAAAAGTTATTGATCTGTGCAAGGCAGCATCACAAAGTTCTCTTTGCCATGTTTGGGCCAATGAAAGCAGGGCTTTAAATATTGATTAACTGCATGACCATATCGTAAACGTTTGCAGGCTGCATCCTATCTTTTTTTCAGGAGCTGCACATGATTAATTACTTTCAACAAAATTGATGAATACAGAGCTTGATTTACTGTCACTTCTGATGTAAGGTCATCAATTTGAAACATTAATGTTCTGTTCACATCTGCTAAGTATTTCCAACATTTTTTGTTTTAAATTCAGATTTCCAGTACTCACAGTATCTTACTTTCATTAAAAATGTTACATTGTTTAGAATACAAAGAGGCAAATCTATAGTTTAGTTAGATGTGAACTTGGTTACACTCCTTCTTGAGTATTACTTTTTACTTCTGGGCAGTGTGCCTTAGAATTATATGTCGGCCTTGGAGACACACCAGAACCATGTCAGTTCTAAAAAGGTTGAATTGTGAACACTGGTTGCATGAACCTGTTTTCTTTAATTCATAGGATGTGGGAATCACTGACAAAGCCAGCATTTATTGCCTATCCCTAACTGTCCTTCAGAACGTGTTGAAGAGCTCTCTTCTTGAACTACTGCAGTCTGTGTGATGAAGTTACTCCTGTTGTGATGCTAAGGAGGGAGTTCCAGAATATTGACCAGGTGACAATGAAGGAATGACAAAATATTTCCAAGTTAGGATATGTGTGACTTCAGGGGAAATTGTAAGTGATGATGTTCCCATGTGCCTGATTTCTTTGCTCTAACAGGTGCTTGAAGTCACAGGTATTGAAGAAGCCAAGGTGAGTTTATGCAGTGCAACTTGTGATTGGCACACACTGATGTTCCTAGAGTCATCGAGTCATACAGCACAGAAATAGACTTCTCGGTTTAACCAGCCCATGCCGACCATAATCCCAAAGCAAACTCGTTACACTTGCTTGAGCTTGGTCCATATCCCTCCAAACATTTCTTATTCATGTACTTATCCAAATGTCTTTTAAACACTGCAACTGTATCAGCATGCATTCCTTCCTCTGGAAGTTCATTCCACACATGAACTACACACCGTGTAAAAAAAATTGCACCTCGTGTCATTTTTAAATCTTTCTCCTCTCACTTTAAAAATATGCCAGTAGTCTTGAAATTGCCCACCTTAGGGAAAAGATACCTGCCATTCACCTTATCTATACCCCTCATGATTTTATAAACCTCTATAAGGTCACCCCTCAACCTCCTACGCCCCACTGAAAAAAGTCGCAGCCTATCCAGCCTGTCTTTATAACTCAAATCCTCCATTCCCAGCAGTATCCTGGTAAATCTCTTCTGAACCCTCGCCAGCTTAATAAAATCATTCCTATAACAGGGTGACCAGAACTTGTCACAGTACTATTGAAGAGGCCTCACCAACATCTTATACATCCACAACATACCACCCCAACTCCTATACTCAAAGGTCTGAACAATGAAGGCAAGTGTGCTAAACGCCTTCTTAACCACCCTATCTATATGAGACTCAAACTTCAAAGAATTATGTACCTGAACCTCTAGTCCTCTTTGTTCTACACCATCTGAGGTCCTACTTTTAATTGTATAAGTCCTTCCCTTGTTTGATTCAGCAAAATGCAATATCTTGCATTTATCCAAATTAAACTCTACTTGCCACTCTTCAACCCATTGACCCAATTGATCAAAAATTGTTTGTAATCTTAGATAACCTTCTTCACTGTACACTATAGAACCAATTTTGGTGTCATCCACAAACTTACTAACCATGCCTTCTATATTCTCATCTAAATCATTTATGTAAATTACAAACAAATGTGGACTCAACAACAATTCCTGTGAAACATTGCTGGTCAAAACTTAGTCAAACTCCGGTTCAAAAAACAACCCTCAACCATCACTCGCTGTCTCCTGCCGTTAAGCTAATTTTGTAACCAGTTGGCAAGGTCACCCTGAATCCATGTGATTTAACGTTACTACTTAGACTGCCATGCGGAACTTTGTCAAAGGCTTTACTAAAATCCAAGTTAACATTGCTCTGCCCTCATCAGTCTTCATGGTTACTTCCTCAAAAATCTCAATCAAGTTTGTGAGACACGATTTCCCTTGCACAAAACCATGATGACTATTCATAATCATTCCTTACCTCTCCAAATACATATAAATCTTATCTTTCAGAATCACTTCCAGCAACATACCCACCATTGAATCAGACTCACAGGTCTATAATTTCCAGGCTTCTCCTTACATCCCTTCTTAAGCAAAGGCACAACATTAGCCTCTCTCCAGTCATTCAATACCTTACCCGTAGTTATAGACGATCATACAAGTATTTCTGCAAGAGGCCCTGCAATTTTCTCCCAAATTTCCCACAATATCCTGGGTTACAGTATCTCAAGTCCTGGAGATATATCTACCTTTATATTTTTTAAGACCTCCAGCACTTCCTTCTCAATAATGTGAACTGTTTTCAAAACATCAATATTTATTTTCCTCTCTGAGTTTTCTAGCTCCTGTGCAACATTGCTATTGTAATGGGTGTCAGTAAGGTGTGCCCCTTTGTCTGGGATGATGCTGAACTTGTTGGAACTGCACTAATCCAAGCAAATAGACAGTATCCCATTATTCTCCTGACTATTGTCTTGAAGTTGGTACAAAGGCTTTTGGGGAGCAGGATGAGTCACTGACCACAGAATACCTATCTTCCTACCTGCTCTTGTAGCCATAGTATTTGCATGGTTGGTCTGACTAAGTTTATGGGGCCAGGATGTTAATAATGGTGGATTAAGCAATGACAATGCATTGAATGTAAAACAGAGGTGTTTAGATTCTATGATGTTGAAAATGTTCATTGCAAATTTCTTGTGTGGCATGTGTGTGGCTCACTCAGATGGCATGTTGTCTAGGTCTTGTTGCATGTAAGTATTGGGAGCTTCATTGTCTGAAAACTCTGTACCAGCATCAACAACTATTCTTATGTGTTCCTTTATGATGGGAGGGTTCATTATTGCTCACAGAACTAAACATGGTGTGCTCAGTGCACTGCCCTGAGGAACTCCTCTATGTGTCCTGTGGTTGAGACAATTATGTGTCAATAACTAGACCCATCTTCCATTATGCAGGGTATAACTACAGCCAATGGGGGATTTTCCCCGTTTCCGAGTGACTTGAACTTTATCAGGGTTTGCTTCAAAATACTGCCTTGATGTCAAGGGCAGTCACTCTAAAGTTATGTCTGGAAATCAGGTCTTTTGGCTGTGCTTGGAAGAAGGTTCGAATGAAGTCTGAAGCTGATTGGTCCTGGCAGAATGCAAACTGACTGTCAATGGGTGGGTTATGGGTGAGTACGTGCTGCTTGAAGGCACTGTCAGTAACAACTCCCCTTACAATGATGATGATTGAAATTGGATTAATGTGGCGAGAACTGGTTTAAATGTGCCCTGCTTTTTGTTGACAGATTCTCTTTCTGTTAGTATTCCTTTTTGTGAGCTTGATGGCAGTTTGGGAATTGCTTGAATCGAGGCACATCTCGTCCTGGAATACACATTCAGTGTTATAGCTAGAACGTTGCTGAAGCCCACAGCCTCTGTTATATTCAGTATGCTTAGCTAATTCTTTGTGTTAAATGGATTCAATTGAATTGGCTTAACACTGATTTCTGTGTGGTGGGAGCTACATGAGGCGCCCAAGATGGATCATCCACTTGGAACCCTTGGATGAAGATTGTTCTAAATGCTTAAGCCTCAACTTTGCATTCACCTACTAAGCTCTGCTACCACTGTGATGGGCAATATTCAAGAAGATTTTTATCTTCTACTGAACTTTGTTTAGTTTCCCATCACCATTCAAATCTGCATGTGGAAGGATGGTGGAGATTTGTTTTTATCTGTGGACTTGCACCAACATAACTACTATTACAGGTGCAGTAATCCTGATTTTCTGAACTTGTTCCATATTCCTGAAAGTTATGATATCTCAAGTGCTCATCTAAATCTTTTGTAAAGGTTGTAAGTTTTCTGGCGTCCACTACCTTCCCAGGTAATGCATTCGAGATTCTCACTACCCACTGAATGAAAATATTTTTCCCAAATCCCCTCTGAACCTCCAGTCCCTTACCCTAAAACTATGTTCTTTTGTGACTGACTCCTCAAACAAGGAGAACAGCTGTTCTCTGTGCACCCGGCCATGACCCTCAAAACCTTATACACTTCAGTCTTGTCCCCCCTCAATCTTCTCTGCTCTAATGAAAACATGATGTGGAGGTGCCGGTGGACAAAGTCAGAAGTCAGACAACAACAGGTTATAGACCAACAGGTTTATTTGAAATCACAAGCTTTCAGAGCACAGCCCCTTTGTCAGATGAAGTATTAGAGAAGAGTGCACAGCACAGAATTTCTAGGCAAAGAGATCAAGGGCAAAGAGATCAAAAGATCATACAACTGGTGTCAGTGGCATGTCGAATAATAAGTCTCTGCACGTGACCAAGAGTGTTAGGCGGTATGAGTAAAGTGTCAACTGGTGAGTAACAAGCAAAGGGATGGCCTATAATCTGACGAAATGAGGCAGAGAGTTAATTACAAAAAAAGAAAAATAAGGTGGTGCTGGAGACAACCTAAATGACTGGAATAACATGTTAGGTATAAGAGTCACATGCCGAGGGTCTAACCAAAGTAATAAGTAATCCAAAACTGTATAAACTAATTAAGGTAGAGAGACCATAACAATTTATCAAGGTGATGGTATCAAAACAGGTCATTAAGGAACATTTTACTGATACTGAACAGTGTGGAGGGGTGACATGTAGTGCGACATGGACCCAAGATCACGATTGAGGCCACCTTCATGGGTACTCACCTTGGCTACCAGTTTCTGTTCGCCAATTCTGCGTTGTTGCGTATCTCAAAGTCCACCTTGGACGACGTCTACCTGAAGATCGGAGGCTGAATGTCCTTGACCGCTGGAGTGTTCCACAACTGGGAAGGAACATTCCTGTCTGGACACCGCACAACAATTGCCAGAAAGGAATGTTCCCTCCCAGTTGGGGAACACTTCAGTGGTCAATAGCATTCAGCTTCCAAACTTCAGGTAAACGTCCTCCAAAGTGGACTTTGAGATACACAATAATGTAGAATTGCCGAACAGAAACTGATAGCCAAGGTCAGTACTCAGGAAGGCGGCCTCAACCATGATCTTGGGTCCATGTCGCGCTACATGTGACCCCACCACACTGTTCAGTATCTGTAAAACTTTCATTACTGTCCTGTTTTGACAGCATCACCTTGATAAATTGTTATGATCTCTCTACCTTAGTTAGTTTGTACAGTTTTGGATTGCTTGTTACTTTGGTTAGACCCTTGGCATGTGGCTCTTACATCTATCATGTTATTCCAGTCATTTAGTTTGTCTCCAGCACTACCTTATTTTTAACTTTTTTGTAATTCTCTCTCTGCCTCATTTAATCAGATTACAGATCATTCCTTCACTTGTTATTCAACTGTTGATACTTTACTCATACTGCCTAACAATCTTGGTCACCTGCAGAGACTTATTATTTGACACTCCACTCTCACCATTTGTGTGATCTTTTGATCTCTCTACCCTTGAAACCTCTGCTATAAATTCTGTGTCTGTTTGCTCTTCTCTCACACTTTGCCTGACGAAGGGGCTGTGCTCCAAAAGCTTGTGATTTTAAATAAGCCTGTTGAGCTATAACCTGGTGTCATGTGACTTCTGACTAATGAAAACTATCTAAGCCTATCTAGTCTCTCCTTATAGCTCAATTTTTCCATCCCAGGAATTATCCCGTTGAACCTCCTCTGTACCCTCTCTAGTGCTATCACATCCTTCCTGTAGTGAGGTGACCTACATTGGACACAGCTATGGCCCAACCAACACACTGTACAACTCCAATATTACCTTCCTGCTCTTATACTCTATGCTATAACTAATGAAAGCAAGTGTTCCATATACCTTCTTAATACTTTTCGAATTGGAGCAAAGAAGCATGAGAGGTGACTTGATAGAGGTGTACAAGATGATAAGAGGCATAGATAGAGTGGATACCCAGAGACCTTTTCCCAGGGCAGAAATGACTATTATGAGGGGGCATAATTTTAAGGTGATTGGAGGAAGGTATAGGGGAGATGTCAGAGTTAGGTTCTTTACACAGCGAGTGGTGGGTGCGTGGAATGCGCTGCAAGATGTGGTAGTGGAGTCAGATACATTAGGGACATTCAAGCGACTCTTGGATAGGCACATGAATGACAGTAAAAAGTACGGTATGCAGGGTAAACTGATCTTAGAGTAGGATAATAGGTCGGTACAACATCATGGGCCGAAGGGCCTGTACTGTGCTTTACTTTTCTATGTTCTTGACTGTTCTATTCAAGAGCTATGCTGACTTCAGGGATCTGTGAATAATTACCCCAAGATCCCTCTGTTCCTCTAAGCTACCCAGTGTCCAGCCATTCATTAAGTACTCCCTCATGTTGTTTATTCTTCCAAAGTGCATCACCTTACACTTATCAGGGTTAAATGCTGTCTGCCACTGGTCTTCCTATCTGACCAACCCATCTATATCTTCCTGTAACCCACAACCATTTTTTTCACTATTAAGCATTCTGCCAATCTTGGTGTCATCTGCAAATTTGCTTAACATTCCCCCTACAGTTTCATCTATATCATTGATGTATTTAAGAAACAATAAAGGTCCCAGTGCTGATCCTAATGGTATATTGCTGGAAACTGGCCTCCAATCAATCGAACAGCCTTCTACCACTACCCTTTCTGTCCTATTATTAAGCCAGTTTCAGATCCATCTTACCATGGTTCCCTCAATTCCACATGCTTTAACCTTTTCAGAATTTTCTCCAATAGTTTCCCGAACACTGACATGACACTCACTTGTCTGTAATTTCCTGGTTCATCTCTACCACCCTTCTTGAAAAGTGGAACTACATTAGCCATCCTCCAGTCCTCTGGCACTTACCCTGTGGCCAGAGAGGAATTAAAAATTTGTGTCAGAGCCCCTGCAACTTCCTGCCTCACCACCCACAACAGCCTGAGGTGCAATCTTCTGGCCAGGGGATCTGTTCATTTTTAAAGTTGACAGAGCCTCCAATACATCCCCATTTTCGATGTCAAAGTGTAAAATTCCTCATTGTCCCTTTTCCTGAATTCTGTACTGAGGTTCTCCTTCTCCAGATTGAAAACCATTTGAAAAACTGATTGAAAATCAATTTGCACCCTTCCATTACGCAGCAGCTTCACACAAAGGGTGTCCCCTTGGGCCCTAATGGGCCCAACTCTTTGCCTGGTTAACCTTCTCTTTAATGTATTTATAAAATATGTTAGGATTTTCTGTAATCCTGTTTGCAAATCCTTCTTCATGCCCCCTTTCTGCTCTTCTAATTGCTTCCTTTTTGTCTAAAACATGCTGTTTCTGTGGTTTTGCAAGCTTATATTTCATATATATTTTAAGCATGTATCTTCAGCAACTTGGCACCTCAACTTCAGATACATTTAATTTTACTTCTGACATTCTCTTACGCACTCCTCCTTGAAACAGACTTGGTTACATGGTTTGACAGTAATCATTGAGAGAAAGGTAAGCTAGATCATGAGGCTAGAAATTGTGGTGGCAGACAATTCTGCTGCTGAGAATGGCTCACAGTGTTTTTGCATTTCCAGTTTTATGCTTCAGGATTTCTTCTGAATTAACCCCATTTTATCAGCAGTCACTCTCAAATGTGTATGATTGCCCACCTGGGAAATTACTGATCCCATTTAGAGTAAGGCTAAAGCCACAGCACACAATATGATGGAGGGTGGCCTCAACATGAAGAAAGGATTTTGTCTCCACAAAGAATGTAAAGTGGTCACTTCTACCATCATGATCAGTTCTAGATTGGGTGAGCTCAAGGTCAAGTCAGATTTTTCCTCATACTGGTTATCTCAGAATTTTACCACGGCACAATCTGGTGGCACTGTCCTTCAGACTTATGCCAACTTGGTCAGCAGCAGCGATACTGCGCTAGTCATAGTGATGGATATTGACGTGCCCCACACTGAGTACATCCTATGTCTTTGGTGCTTATTCTATGTTGTATTCAACAGTGAATAATGCTCATTAATCAGGTGAGAAAAGGAAATAAGTGAAAAACAGTAGTAGGCTTTTTTTTGGGTCACATTGAATGGTATCCTATTAAAGATGTTTGAAGTGATTTAAAATGAATTAAGCAAGTCAGAATTACAGTACATTAGAGCACTAAAGTAAAGAAACAGGCCACTACCTACCTGTTCTTGCTCTTCAAAAGATTTACAACTTACTGTCGCTCCCATATTCATTCTACATAACCCTCAACATTTTCCTCTTTTTCTGTATTCAATTTGTTTTTGGAATTACCAGTGACTACTGTCATTTTTCCATCAATCAATACACAGAAACTCAAAGAGGAAAAACTAATTTCTTAACTCACCCATGGCATTTTTTGGCCAATTACCTTGAAGCTCTGTCCACAGGCTCCCCTCTGACAATGAAAAGCAATTATTTTCGATTTGTCACTCAAAAGGTCTCATAAATTTCCTGGTTCTGATTGGAAACTATCTGTCCAGCAAAGAAGTTGGGGCAGAAACAATCAATGATTCCGAAAGGAAACTGGTTAGCTACTTAAAGGAACTAATCTTGAGGAGTTACAGGAATTAAATGAGAGAATGGGAATGGATCAATGTGAAGGCCACATGCCCTCCTGTGTCATAATGGCTATATGTCTCTATTTGAATGTCTTTATGTCTGTCCCTAAACCATTTTTTGTTTGAAGAGAACAATCCCAGTTTGACTTAACATACTTAAAAGGACATAATTGAATTGGCTCATCTCATTGTTATTAATCTCCTCTGCATCCAGTTTAAGGTTCTGATATATTTTGTATCATATGGCACAAAGACGTGAACAATCTTGAAGCTGGGATTTAACCCAAGAGGGGGATTATAATCAGAGTTTAGCTCAAAGTAATCAAGCATAATAAAGATAAATGATTTCATTCACAGGGGAATTCAGAACAAGAAGGCATAATCCTAAAATTGGAGTCATGCCACTCAGGAAAAAATTGAAGACATTCTTCTTCATATGTAAGGTAGTATCATTAAAAAACTCGATCCCCACCTCCCCAACCTAATAAGTCTGTGGATACTGCATCAATAGAAATTCCAAAACTGAGAATAACAGATTTTTGTTGGATATGATTATCAAGAGTTTTAAATCAAAGGTTACTCAATAGAGATGAGGAAGACATGAGTCATGAACTAGTTGAATAGTGGGCCTTTGATAGTCCACCATGATATGGAGGTACTGGTGTTGGACTGGGGTGGACTAGGTCAAAAATCACATGACAAGCTTGTGTATTCAAATAAACCTGTTGGACTGTAACTTGGTGTTATGTGATTTTTGACCTTAATGGTCTGAGTATTGAGGGGAGGCGATGGACTAGTGGCATCATCGCTGGACTGTTAATCTAGAGACTCAGATAATGTTCTGGGGACCTGGGTTTGAATCTTAGCACGGCAGATGGTGGAATTTGAATTCAATAAAAATACCTGGAATTAACAATCTAGTAAAGACCGTGAATCTATTATCGATTGTCGTAAAAACCCATCTGGTTCACTAATTTCCTTTAGGGAAGGAAACTGCCATACTTACCTGGTCTGGCCTACATGTAACTCCAGACCCACAGCATTGTGGTTGACTCTGAACTGACCTCTGGGCAATTTGGGATGGGCAATAGATGTTGGCTAGCCAGCGATGTCCTTATCCTGTTAATGAATTTTTAAAAAATCCTTCTGCTGTGTCTCCATTACTAATACAGTTGCATTTCTGGTTAGTTATTTAAGCTTTAAATGAGACTAACATAAAAGATGTGCAAACTGAGCATATATTTTTACTTAATCAGCTGTTTTAATCAAAATCTAGCGCAGAATGTTTCCTGACAAAATTATGCCAGTAGGATAGATTGAAGAGACAGCAGTTCTTATAGATCTGTGAGAGCATAATAATTTAAAGTTGAATCAAACAGTTGTTCTTCGAGGTTGTCTTGTGTTATTTGCAAAGGCAGTGTGGTAACCCAATTGCTTTCTAATCATCTCTAATTACCTTTCTGGGTAAATTAGAATAAATACTTTGGGTTAACAAAATGCATACTTATACAATGTAATCTAACTTGAATAGGCACATATTTACATTGAGTAGCATTTAAAATACTTGGGACTCAACCATAATGCTGCTCCTTAACGTCCTTGCATTATATTTGGCAATGAGCAAGTAAAAATTTTAAAATGACTGAACTATCATGATGAAAGTAGAAGAATACTTTCTTTCTGAGAAATGTAAACACAACAGGGTGATAATAGTCAGAGACTTCAACACACAGGATGGAATCATTTTTAAAAGTTATAGAGGAGACAGAATTATTGAAATGCAATAAGAAAAATAACATCAAAAGAGCAATAAGACTTAGCTTTAGAAAATGTCGTTCAATAGTTGGAGAGAGCATTAGAAAGCCAACATTTTTGGTAGCAGTGATCATAACTCAGTTAGATTTATGTTAATTATGGAAAAGGACAAAATAAACAGGCAGTACATTCTCATTTGAGGGAAAAAGAAATTTTAACAAGCTTGATTATGATGTAGCACATGTGAATTGCAAATAGCTACTTAAAAGTAAATCAGTATCAAAATGGTGGGAAACACTTATGGAGTGAAAATGGAGACTTCTTAAAAAAATATTCAAACAGAGGATATGGGCTTTACTGGCTGGGCTAGCATTTATTGTCCATTGTAAATTGCCCTTGAAAAGACAGTGGTCAGCCGCTTTTTTGGAACCCTGTAGTCCATTTGGTGTAGGGGCACCCAAAATGCTGTTAAGGAAGAAATTCTAGGACAGTGAACAAATTGTGATATACTTGCAAGTCAGCATGGTTTGTGACTTGAATGGGAACTTGAATTTGTTAGTGTTCCCAACATGGTTGTGGTCATAAGTGTGGAAGTGCTATCTAAGGGCATTGGTGAATTTCTGCAGTGAATGTTGTAGATAGTTCATATTGCTGTTATTGTGTTTGGCTGCTGAAGGGACTGAATGTTTGTGAATGTTGAGCCAAACTAGTAGTTTGCTTTGCCCTGGATGGTGTCACATGTTGCATAAGGCTGAAGATACAGGACCTGATAAGAGACTTTGAAATGGGGTGTTATGTAATTGGAGTTACACTGAATCATTTGGATTGGGAGACAACTAATATTGCAGGAAATCACCAACTGCTGTCTCTACCAAATGAGGACAAAACATTCAGGATTGGTTACGTGCACAGATAATTCCAATAAGGCATTCGTGTGACACAGAAATCTGCATCAAAAAAGTCCCTGATTTCAGCAGCAACTCCGCAGACCACCAACTGCGAAGAATTTCCCTATTCAGGAAGCATGGTGAAGACATCGAGAAGAGTTCCAGTCTGGCTAGCCACCAACTCTTCTCAGTAAATATGTCTGGGGTTGGTTACAGAACCTAGCGCAGTAAGGGATGGTGGTTTAAATATCTCTAGTGGTTAAAGGCACACATCATTCACTTAAGTACTTCGTATATTAATTGCGTTTTATGGAGCTCTATTGTCTCCTCTGTATCTTTGTCTATACATGTACTGTTGTATCAGAGAGATGGGCAACACAAGTTTCTTGAGTGTTGTTGGAGCTGCATTCATTCTGGCGACTGGAGATTATTTTCTGACGAAGGGTCTAGGCCCGAAACATCAGCTTTCCTGCTCCTCTGATGCTGCTTGGCCTGCTGTGTTCATCCAGCTCTACACCTTGTTATCTCTATTATTCCACCACACTCCAGTTTTGTGCCTTGTAGACAGTGGAAAGAAATCGGCGAGTCAGGACATGAGCTATACAATGCAGGAATCCGAGCATCAGACTGCTCTTGCAGCCACACTAGTTATATGACTAGTTCCCACTTCAGTTCTGGTCAATGGTAACTCCCAGGATGTTGACATGGGAGATTCAGTGTTGATAATGTCATTGAATGTTCAAATAATGCTTAGATTCTCTCTAGTTACGATATAACACTGCCTGCTTCTTGTGTAGCACAGATTTTATTTGCTACTTGTCAGCTACTTGGGTTTTGTCTGGGTCTTGTTTTTGGACATGTACAGCTTAAGTACCCAAGGAGTCGCAAATAATGTTGAACGATGTGCAATTATGAATAAACACCATCACGTCTTACTTTCTGATGGAGGCAAGATCATTGATGAAACAGGTGAAGATGTATTGAACCTGCCTCATTACACATGACCATATCCATAACGGCCAGACCCTTTGTCGGATCCACAAAACATTATTCTAGGAAATTATCCCAAGTACACACATGAATTATTCCTCATGGCTACCTCTGCCAATCTGATCATCGCAATCTACAAGATTAAAGTCACCCATGATTAATGCACCGCCTTTGTAACATGCCCTCATTTCTTCCTGATTTATTCTCTGTCCAACCTTATAGCTACTGTTCGAGGCCTATAGATGACTCCTATCATCCCATTTTTATTTCTTACCTCCACCCAAGTGGATTCTATGTCTTCCGAACCAAGATCATTTTTTGCAATCACACTTATTCAACTATGTTCCAAAAATGCTAAGCTACCTCACTTCCTGCCTGTCCTTTTGAAAGGTCACATACCCCTGAAAGCTTAGTTGCCAGCTTTGATCTGCTTGTAAACCACATCTCTATAATGGCTACCACATCATAACCAGCAACCTGTATTTTTGCCATTAATTTACTAATTTTGTTCTGAATATTACACACATTCAAGTAAAAAGTCATCAATTTTGACTTTTTCCCATTTTTTTGTCCCTTTGACCTTATTAATAGTAGTTTTTTCTATGTTTGTATACTCTGTCCTTTTCTGTTTCACTGTTGGTATCCCTTAACCCACAGGGCTATGGAATAAGAGGTGAAAAGTATGATGAGGCTGGATTTTTTAAAATCAGCCAGCACTGAAATGATGAAGCAAATGACCGCTTCTTGCATCTTAAATTTATAGTAACGTGTTTTATCATGGACAAGACAAAAGATTAAACATCATTGTCAATAGTTCTGCGACATAGCTATATCAGGTAATCAGCTGTTAGGTGTTCCATTACTTTGTCAAAGTACTGCATTTTAAATGAAGCTACAGTTACATTAGTATGAATTATCATTTGACTCTTCATTCTCAGCTGTAACGTTACTGTTGGATAAGAAGGTCTTAAAGGATTACACTTCTTCTGTGTCATTGTGCTTAACTTGGCAACTTTGTTTCCGTGCTAGGATTACTAAAGCTTGATTGTCTCCTGCTCTTTTACATAACTAGACTGAAGATCATCTTTAGCGGTTTCTGTGGTTCTTAAGAGTAAAGATAGCAAAATCCAGTGCCTTTAAAATCTACGTGTGGGAGCCATTTATTTTGATAAAATGAAGTGACACCACCATGAATACAACAGTGGCGGAGAACGAAATTAAATTTCCAGCAAATGTTTTCTTTCGCTTCTTGTCCCTGCTATTGACTGTGCCTGGAATAGTAAACAGTGCAGACAGACCATGCATTCGGATTGCTTTACATCGCCAGGATCTTTCAATCAATGCAGCAGCCAAATTAGTTCCTAATAACATTTTGAGATAGTCTGAGCTGTTGCAAGCAAACTCTTCTCAGGGCTAGACTAACCGCTTATTTTTTAAAGCACAAATTTTAAATATTGTCCGGGAAATAAAACAAGGACATTTAACCCTAAAATCCAATGGGGTTATTTTTACAAGGTAAAAAGAAAACTTCTACATTTAAAAAAGACAAACGTCAGCAAGACAGAACAAATTGTTTTGTATCAAGTTCGCTTAACCAAGTCTGTAACGGAAACTGGCAATAAGATTTCTCGACTCACAATAACATTTCTGGGAGTTTTATCTTCGCCATTGTGTTTTTCAGGAACTGACGAACACGGTGGCGGGAATGATTTCCACTGCACAGGTCGTAAATACATATAACACTATTAAAAAACAAAAAGCCTTGCTTTACAATAGTTGGTCGGATTTTGTGTAATGTACACATACCCACACCTCTTTTATTTCTTAACTATTAACGAACTGCATGCCAAATGACAACTTCCTTCTACACTGTTGACGCAGTCCACCACTGTACCGTGCAATAATTGGCCGAGACTCTTTGTGTCGCTGTGTACCAATGAGGTACTCAAATGCAGCCAGAGATCCATCTCTCCTCCCCCTTACACCACGTACGGCGAAGAATCGGAAAGAAGGGAAAGCACTGACTCGGTGTTTACATTCACATTCAACAGCCATCTTTTCCATGCAGTCTTTCTCAACTATTAGAAACGGATATCAAGTATTCGTCTCGACATTTTGGATCATACAAGTGGTTGGCGCCTTGGATTCCTACAGCACTCCGAATGCGAAGACTAATTCAGACAGAGAATGCTAGTGTGGTCTTTTATTTTCCTGCTTTGTAGTTGGGAAAATGTCTCTGGACAGATCCGTTATTCAATTCCTGAAGAACTGGAGCACGGAGCCTTTGTTGGGAATGTCGCCAGGGATTTAGGCTTAGACGTGAACGAGTTAGCTAATCGCAAGCTTCGGTTAATGCCTGAGGCCAATGAACGGTATTTTAAGGTAAACTTAGATAATGGAGAGTTGCGCGTGAATGTTAAGATAGACAGAGAGAAACTCTGTGGACAAAATGCTAGATGCATGCTTACTAATAACATTATCATCGAAAATCCAGTGGAGCTCTACAGCGCTGAAGTTGAGATATTGGATATAAATGATAATTCACCCAGTTTCTCAAATGATGAGCTCCGTCTGGAGATCGTGGAATCAGTTCCGCTGGGAACGCGCTTCCTGCTCCCGAGCGCGCACGATCCAGACGTGGGCACCAATTCCATCAGCGCTTACCATTTGAATGCAAATCAACACTTTGCCTTAGAGGTCAAGAACAGCAGTGACGGCAGTATAACTGCGGTCTTAGTGCTAACCAAAGTTTTAGACAGAGAAGCGTTGGCGACTCATCGATTAACTCTGACAGCTATTGATGGTGGAACGCCAGTGAGATCTGGCACGTCCCAAATTGTTATCACGGTTCTCGATGTCGACGACAATTGGCCGGTGTTCGAGCAGGCAGCGTACAACGTGAAGTTACCGGAAAACGTGCCAATAGGTACTTTGGTTATCAAACTCAATGCCACTGATTTGGATGAAGGGTCGAATGGTCAAATAAGCTATTCCTTCAGTAGCAGTACCCCGGCTGGCGTGCGTGACCTCTTCAGCCTCGGGTCCAGAATGGGAGAAATGAGAGTCAAGGGGGTATTGGATTTTGAGGAGAATAATTTTTATGAGATTAACATTGAAGCAAAGGATAGTATTCATTTTGCGGTTTGCAAAGTTATAGTAGAGATAACTGACGTGAATGATAATACACCCGAGATAACATTAATGTCAGTATCTACCCCGATCCGCGAAGATGCCCAGCCCGGGACTGTGGTTGCACTGATGCGTGTAACAGATCGAGATTCAGGACTAAATGGACAGTTTGAATGTCAGATTCCGGACGACCTACCATTTAATCTCAAGTCATCCTTGAAAAATACATACACATTAACGACCAGTTATCATCTGGACCGAGAGACGAATTCCCAATATACAGTCCACATAACCTGCACTGATACAGGATCTCCTCCTCTCTCAGCGAACAAAACCATTCTGGTTCAGATTTCAGATATGAATGACAATGCGCCACGCTTTGCACAGCTTTCCTATACGGTGTATGTCCCCGAGAACAGTCCTGCTGGCTCTTCTATAGGTGCTGTCTCTGCTTTGGATCCGGATCAGAACCGGAATTCACATATCGTGTACTCAATCCTGAACAGTCTGGTTCATAACATGCCTGCGTCCGCTTACGTTTCAATCACCTCGGATACCGGTAGCCTCTATTCCCAACGCCCCTTCGATTACGAGGAACTCAAAAACTTTCAGATCCACGTGCAAGCTCGGGATGCTGGATTCCCGGTCCTTGACAGCAATGTCACCGTCAACATTGTCGTCCTGGATCAGAACGATAACGCACCCCAAATCATTTCCCCGTTGACCAACAACAATTCTGGAATCACTGTGCCCCGCTCTGCGGACCCTGGCTCACTAGTGACTAAAGTAGTGGCTGCAGATGTGGATTCCGGTCAGAATGCTCGCTTGACTTATCAGTTGCTCCAGGCCACTGACTCAGGCCTGTTCACCATAGCACATGGTTCAGGTGAAATTAGGACAATCCGTCGTTTCATGAAGAAGGACGACCCCATTCAGAAACTCGTTGTTCTAGTTAAAGACAATGGCCACCCACCCCTTTCAAGCACTGTCACCATCAACGTATTAGTAACAGATAATAGCGCAGAAACCCTATCAGATCAAATTCCTCAAGTCCACGATGTCCGTCCCACTTCTAACTTAGCTTTTTACTTAATAATCACTCTGGCTTCAACCTCCTCAATTCTGCTTGTGATTCTAATCGTCCTCATTGTGACCATGTGTCATTCTGATAGAAGTCGGTCTCGTTGCTGTGACCTTTCCCCTTCCTGCTGCAATTTAAACCGGTGGCATACAGACGACACTTTTCCAAATTCCCATTTATATTTTCAAACTGTACCCGACTATAAAGGAACGCCACACTTCGTTGAGTTGGTTGGCAATGGGTCGCTCTCTCGAACATACTCCTATAAAGTTCGTCCAAATCAGTTATCGAGTAAAGGAGATTTCGTCTTCTTAGCACCGTACAATACAGCAACTTTGCAAAATGACGCAGCCAACACTGATACACTTCTAGCAGAATGGAGAGGGGAGTTAACGAATAACTGGAAAAATCCACACTCTGAGGTGAGTTGCCATTTGATTTCATCAAATAATCTCGGCACAATCAAACTATGAACAACGAAAGCCCTTGCCAATCAGTAGTAATCTTGGAGTATGAATTGAGTGTCAATGTCTTTCTGATTCCCAGATGGTGTCTTTCATGCAGTTGCCTTCTAGTCAGTTGATACCTGATGACAGATTGAACCAGCATTAAAAGGAATAACTGCAACTTTGCTGTCAAGTCAAGCTTCTTTGCATCAAAACTGCATTTGATGTTTGAATGTATCCTGGGGCCTACCTGGGTCAACCTGATCAAAAATTCCATTTTATTGCTTCCCTGATGTAGCTACAATGTATAAAGTGAAGAGGTGTGTGTTAAGTCAGTGGAGTTATGGGAAGGTTTAAAACCTAATTGGAAATGGTTGCTTAGATGAAGACAAACCATCCAACTAATGAAATAAAGAACTGCAGATGCTGGAAATCTAAGAGAAAAAAACAGAAATTGCCAAAGCAAATCAGCAGATCTGTCAGTATTTGAGGATGTACTTCAAAACTGAAGAAGGGTTACTGGACTTGAAACTATATTTTTTCTTTCTCTCCACAGATGTTGCCAGACCTGCTGAGTTTCTCCAGCGATGTCGGTTTTTGCTTCACCTCAGTGAATGCCTTTCATGTCTATAGAGAAAAAGCAAGGAAATGGGGATCACTGGTAGCTCAAGTCAAACATTAAGTATGATGCATCCAATATCCTTTGCACTAGAACCGCATTAAATGTTAGATAACAGAGAGGCTATTCAGCCCATCATCAGCACTACATTATCCTTTACTGTTTTTAATGATTCGTACAGATGGGATCTTGTTCTAAAGTTGGTTGAGAGGTATTGCATTGAATGAAACTCCAGCACAATACCAAATCTATTTTTAAAGATAAAGCTCTGAGGAAGGTTCACTGGAACCCGAAACATTAACCCTGATTTTTTTTCCTCTCAGATGCTGCCAGACCTGTTGAGCTTTTCCAGCAAATTCTGTTTTGTTGCTTTTTCTCTTTTGTTGTTTCTGTTTTAAAGATCTCTTGAGCTCCTGGGTGCCTCAGAGAACCGTACAGATCTTGAAATTGATTCAGAATGTGGACATTACAATTACACTGTCAAAACACATCTTATTCATCTTCTAACCATCTGTGCAGAGGTCTCTCTTGTAATCTTGAAAATTCAATTTGGAAAAAGTCAGTAAAAATAAGTCATTGCAATGTTGTAATCAATACTGTAGCTTCAGGTCTTAGAATCTGTTCTGACTTGGAACTAACATAACTGAAGCCTAATACGTCTGTCTTTGCACTGCCTGTGGTTACAATATCATGGAGTGATTTTCAACTTCTGCGTGTTTATTCAACACCTGATAAATGGATAATGGGCGGAGGAAAAGCAGGGGTAGGAACCGTTTGTTTATCTTTGCACACCCTAAGTCTGCATGATACAATTATCAGAAGGATTTCTAAATATGAATATAATAGTCTTGCCAACTTCAGACAGGGAACAATTTAAACACAAAAATCAATATTGTACATCATGTGAGACCTAGATTTCCATATTACAATTCCATTACAACAGAAACTCGTCCCTCTTTTTGTACCCAGTGACAAGCTGAAACAGTGGTCCTTAAAGTGAATACTGGTACCACCTACACAAAATACCCCACATTCTTGTGCACCTGATCCAATCCTGGCCTTGAAGCTGTGACAGTGAATCTGGTACTTGCTTTGAGGGCACAGTTCACGGCTTGCATTAGAAGTACTCTGAAACTGGAAACTGTTCAAGACAAATATTTGGAAATAGAAAATCTTCTACACCTTATCAGGAAGATTGTTAAAAAAAGATGGAAGCGCACAGTATTATTGAGATCATGGTATTATGGGGATCTGAACTTGACAAACAATATAAAAACTGTGGCTGTAAGAAGAAGTCAGAGGCCAGAAATCCAGGAGGGACTAACTCACCTTCTGATTTCCCAAACCCGTCCACTATACAAGGTCCAAGTCAGAAGTGTGATGCAATACTCCGACTTGCCAGAATGAGTGCAGTTCCAACAATAATCAAAATGTTTGAAATCATCTAGACAAAACAATCTATTTGACTTTCTAATTCACTCATGGGACCTTGATATCACTGGCTGGGAGAGCATTTATTACCTTTCCCGAGTTTCCCATGTGGAGGTGGAGGTGCATTGCCTTCTTGAACCGCTGCAATCTATATGCTGTAGGTAGACCCACATGCTGTTAGAGAGGGTGTTCCAGGATTTCGATCCAGCAGTAGAGAAGAAATGGTGATTTATTTCCAAGTCAGATTGGTGAGTGGCTTGGAGAGAAACTTGCAGGTGATGGTGTTCATATGTAACTGCTGATGGAAGTGGATGTGGGTTTGGAAGGTGCTGTCTAAGGAGCCTTGGCAAACTTTTCCAGTGTGTCTTATACATGCTGCTGCTACTAAGCATGGATGGTGGAATGACAAATGTTTCTGGATGCAGTGCCCATCAAGCGAGCAAAAGAAATCAGAACAGGAGTAGGCTGCTCATCCCCTTGAGCCTGTTCCACCTATTCAATATGATCATGGCTGATCTGACACTCCTCACATCCACATTACTGCTCCTTCACCAAAAACCTTGATTCCCCTGCTGATCAAGAATCCATTTATCTCCTAACCCTAACCATCTATTTTAAATATATGCAAGGACTCTGCCCTCATACCTCTCTACAGCAAGGAGTTCAAAAGACTCACAACCCTTTGAGAGAATAAATGTCCTCATCTCAGGCTTTAATTGGCGCCCTTTAATTCTGGTACTATGCCATCTGGTCCCGTACTCTCCTATGAGGGAAAATATCTTCTCACTTTACCCTGTCAAGCCCCATAAGAATCCAATATATCTCAATGAAATCACGTCTCATTCTTCTAAATTCCAATGAGTAGAACTGCAACCTGTTTAACCTTTGCTTATAAGTCAATCCCTTCACACCAGGGATCACCCTAATGAACCTTCTCTGAACTGCCTCCAGTGTTATAATACCTGAGTAAGTTTGGAGATGCACTCATCCAGTCAAGTGGGGAATATTCCTTCATACTCCTGACTTGTGTATTGTAGGCGCTGGACAGATGTGGGAGGGTCAGAAGTTGAGTTATACGCCGCAGTATTCTTTAGCTCTGACCTGCTATTATAGCCACTATATTTTCATGTTGAGTCCGGTTCAATTTCTGGTCAATGCTAACCCACAGATATTGATTGTGGGATTCCAGTGATGGTAACAACATTGAATGTCAAGGGGCAGTGGTTAGATTGTCTCTTATTGGAGCTGGTTATAGCCTGGTATTTGTGCAGCTTGAATGTTGCTTGCCCCTTTTCGGCTGAGGCACAGATATTGTCCAATTATTGTTTGATTTAAACATCGACTTCTTTAGTATCTGAGGCATCCTGAACAGTGCTGAACACTGTGCAATCATCAGCGGACATCCCCACTTCTGATCTTATGATGGAGGGAAGGTCATTGATGAAGCAGCTGAAGGTGGTTTGGCCTAGGACACTACTCTGCAGAACTCCTGCAGAGATGTCCTGGAGCTGAGATGACTGACCACGACCAACTTCCTGGGTGCGAGGTATGACTCCAATCATCGGAGAGTTTTCTCCCTGATTTCCATTTACTCCAGTTCTGTTAAGACTCCTGACTGGCATTACATCCTTAAACATTCACGCCCTCCAGCACCAAAGCTCAGTAGCAGCAGTCAATACAATCACAAGATGTATTGTAGAATTTCACAAATGCTACTTATACAACAACTTCCATACCTACAACCACTGCCACTAGAGGAACCGCCACATAAGATACATGGGATCACCACCATCTACAATTTCCTCTCTAACTCACTCACCATACTCACTTGGAAATATATCATCGTTCCTTCAGTGCCGCAAGGTCAATATCCTGGAACTCCTCCTCTTATAACACTGTTAGGGAATCTATGCCAAATTGACTGCAGTGGTGCAAAAAGGCAGCTCGCCAATAAATTCTCAAGGGCAGCTAGGAATGGGTAATGCATGCTGGTCCAGCCTACAATGTCTACATCCCATGAATGAATGAATAAGAAAAATGACAATCTGGATATTGAATTAGCTCAGTGACAGGAAGTGTTGAGTGGTGATAGATTTTTCATACTGGAGGATGAATTGCAGTTGTGTCTCCTGTAGGTCAGCCTTGGATCCGTTAGATCTTTTATTTTCCGTAAACAATCGAGACTTATGTATTGGGAGCATCAATGTAATGATTGCAGTTGACATAAAAGTAGGCAACTGGTGAGGATAATTGCAGAATTCTGATGATGTGCACTGGATGGTTAAAAGGGAAGATGCATGATAGGATGCCGTGAAGTGATGCATTATAGCAAGACTAATATGGAAAGACAGTATTCTATAAATTATATGAATTTCAGAAGTGTATTTTAGCAGAGATCTTAATGTATATAGAAAAATCATTAACAGTGACATGGAAAATGATAACGTGGTTAAAAATATATAAATAGCTTGTGTTAATATATATGTGGAGAGAAACAGAAAAGCAAAGAGATTACCCTAGAAATTTTAAGTTACCAGTTAAGCTTCAGCTGGAATATTGTGGACAATTGTGGCAGCACATTTCACGAAAGATGTAAAAACTGTAGAAAAGATATATGGGAGATTTACCATAATGGTGGCAAGATAGCAGACTTCACTTAGAAGGAAGTTTGAAGACATTAGGACTGTCTCCTTGGAATAGCTAAAAGTAAGTGGTAACCTAAGAAAAGTTTTCAAGATGATGAGAGGTTTCAATAAAATAGAGAACAACAAATCCCTCTGGTGAGTGAGTCTGTAACCAAGATCATTGATTTAACATTATTGGTGAGAAGGGAGAAAAGGTAAACTAAATTGAATCTTGAATAAGCTACCTGAAAAATTGTTGAAAACTGTTTCCTTTAAAATGTTTAGGACTGATTTAGGCATGTACTTGAGAATGAAGATCAACAAAGGTTATGGTTAAAGTTGAGGATTTGGGACAAGGCACAAATATCCCATGAAACAATCAGCCCACGTACAATGGGCTGAATGGCTTCTTTCTCTGCTGTAAATTTCTGGGACTTTTGATCATAATCCTTAGATTTTTATGTCATATCATTGAAATAGCAATAATGTGGTTACGTAAATTTTCTGTCTCACTCTCCTTGAATAAAATCTTTTGATTTTTTTGAAAGCACATCCTGGATGACCCCTCATTATTTAACACGCAAAGGGTGGTAAAGGTTTGGAACTCTCTTCTGTAAATCACAGTTGATGCTAAATCAGTTATTAATCATAAATCTGAGACAGATAAATCTTTGTTAAGCAAGGGTATAATGGATATGGGTCAAAGGCAGGTATAGAGTTGGGTCACATCTAATAGCAGAACAGGTTCAAGTGACTGAAAGGTCTATTCCTGTTCCTACATAAAGTTATGCCTAGTGAAAAATAAAACAATGTGCTAATATTGTTTTGTGCTGAGATGGTGAACTAATGAGCTTTTTTGCTTCATCGTGTTTGTTACAACTTGGGTAAAGTATGTCAGTGATAGGGAATAGATTACATTTCCAGTTCTTCCAATGAGTATACAGATAAATCCTGTAGTACGGGACTAGTTACGGAGTAAATCTTCTTTCATAGCTGAAATAATATTGTTTAACCTTGCGTTCAGATGATCCCCTCAGACTGAAGCAGTGTGACATTTTCCAATTTCTTTTGCAAAAGCCATCACTGTAGCTTGTTTTCCAATTTCATTACCTCTGAATTATAGATTGTTTTCTTCTGTAAATTTATACCCACCATGAAGTGGGTTGTGACTGCCAAAACTAATTTGTTTTAGAGATCGTTGCAGCCAACTTTGATAGAGGAAAGACCTTGCATTTAAATAGCACATTATGATACCTTCAGAAGTCCCAACACACATATTCAATGAATCATTTTAGAGGTGCAGTCACAGTTATTATTTAGTTGGATTTTTGAGAGGCACAGGAGTCAAGGGTTGTTGCGGGCAAACAGGAAATTAGAGTTGTGAGCTCAATCAGTTCAGTCATAATCCTACCAAATGACACAGGAGATTCAAAGCGCTGAATAGCCTACTGTTGCTTTCAACTTCAATATTCCTATCTTCCAATACAGGTAAATGTGGCAGCTATTTTGCAAAAAAAATGGATAATCCCATAAGTGGCAAATGAGCTCAAGAACCAGTAAATGTTTAATTAAACAGATTTCAACTATTCACTTTTCATTAGCACCCTATTCAGGATTTGTTTGCCTCTCAGGTTACCATCAGCAAACTCTTTATTTGCCTCATCTTTTTTCTCTCACTCTCAGCACTACCTCCATGTATTCTATTTACCACCCCACACCCTATGGTTAGTATAAATGCCACTTTGTCTCAGGTGCTTTCGGTCTGATGAAGGGTCACTGGACTTCAAAATATTATCTCTGTGTATCTCTCTACAGATGCTGAGTTTCTCTAGTACTAGTTTTCTGTTTTTCTTTAACATTAAATGGTCAGTAGGGAAGAAAATAGGTAATTCAGAAAAAGAAAACCTTCAGCCAATGAATGATGAAAATATTGGTTTTGCCACCAGATAAACTATTAGAAGTGATTAATATGAAGGAAATTCAAATAAGCATATGAGGGATGAATACAAAAGGAAAATTCTGCAGATGCTGGATATCTGACATGGAAACAACAAAAAGACCCAATTGAAACTCAGCAGGTCAGGCAGCATCGGTGGAGAGAAACCAGTTGACATTTCAGGTTCATGGGCTTTCATCTGAATGGAAAAGAAATAGAAACGTAAAAGTTTTATTGCCAGTGAGGGGGGTAGGAGGGCAGGGGAGTGAAAGACAGGATCTATGACATGGTGGACATTTACATAATACAAGATTTCATGATGCAACATCCAAAAAAGTGCTAATGGCTTGAGCGAAGGAACATAGATTGTGCCCACATTAAAACCTTCCGTATGAATGATGAAGGGAGAAAGTGAGAAATAAGACAAAGACCAACACAGCGTCCAAAAAAAAAGCAGAAAAGCACATAGAATAATGTTATAGCAAATTCTTCAGTCTTATCTTTAGTGCCGATGTTCTGATCTCACTGTCTTGAGAATGCGGATATCGCTGGAGCCTTCTCCGGTGTGTTGTTTAATTGTCCACCATCATTCGTGACTGGATGTAAAAGGACTGCACAGCTTAGCTCTGATTCATTAGTTTTGGCATTTCTAAACTTTGCTCCTAGCATGCCTTCTTGCTCTGTTCATTGAACAATGTTTGATATC